TGTGGGTTTCACCAGCCTGGTCTTGTCCACTTTGCTCTTGAACACTCCTCCTTCCATTCAACTGGAGTCCAGTTGAATAAATTTAGTTTAGCTGTGGGTATCTGCTTCTACTTACATCAGTTGCTGGATAAAGATTCTAAGATGGCATATAAATTAATCATCAGTCTCATTTACAGGGGCAGACATTTAAGGTAGCCTCTCCACTGTTGCTTAGATGGTTAGTTGTTGTCATCCTATTTTCTTTCTATTTCACTGAGGATATTTTTCATTTTTCATTTTTTCAGCCCAAAGTACATAAATATCTGCTTATTTGTTATTTGATAACATTTTATAATGTAATGTTTATCTGAAATATTTATAATGTGCCATACTAAAGGTGTAAAATAACACAAACTTTTAATTTTACAAGGTATATTTATCAGTTATCAAAACTGATATTTTTTCAGAAATGGAACAGCTTTCCTGCTTTATTCTAAAAGTATTTGCACTAATTTCTCTAAGTTTTGCATTGTCATAGTTATCAATAATGTTTATACATGTTCATTTATCATCATGACATCATATCTGTTTATTGGGTAGAAGATGATAATTCATCCTATGTAAAATATGTTATGATTAAACTATGGAATCTGACAGTCCTCCTTTTCAACTTTAATCATATCAATAGTAGATTTTATGACAACTCATGTGTAATCAAAACCAAACATTTTACTGGGAAACATGGTGATGCATGGCTTTAATCTGAGCACTTGTGACAGGCAAACCTATGATTTCAAGGCAAGCATGGTCAATGTAGCATTTCTGGAACATGAAAATAAATATATTGAGCACACACTTGTAGACATATATTTTTATATTCTGATACTCTATAAGCCGAACTTGTAAAACAGCCTAGTTGATAAATATCTATTAGTGAAGGATCATATGTAATACTATTTGGGAGGATATATACCCTTCTTGGGCTGCCCAAAGTGTGTTTTTGCTTTGGTTTCCAGGAGAACAAAATGCCAAGCTCTAAGCTTTGTGCTCATAATGAGATGGAAAACCATCTGAGGAAACCAGACCTTCTAAATATAGCAGGAAAGATGCACATGGCCCACAACCACACTAAGACAGATGGTATACAAGTACTGAGGGGGGAGGTGAACACCAGACCCCGTCTTTAATTCATAAGCTATAACTAAGTTATCATAAGCCCCAATCCCTAACCCAGCTGCAAATACAAAAAATAGTTTTCTTTAAGGGAGTATAACTGGGTATACAAACAATTATTAGGGCCGGTTCCATGTTCAGCAGAAGGTGGAAAATAACAAAAAAAATAAACTCAGTGGAATTTTTGGAGGTTAATTCTTCTAATATTACATGTATTTTGTGTGTAATTATGGCTTTTCAGTTTTTGTTTTATCTTTTTGTATATATGAAAACACGAGTGTCTGCATCTATCTGGTCCTTTTTCTTTTGGTTCCTTTTTGTTTATTTGCATGTTTGTTTGTTTGTTTTATCCCAGTCTTGAATCTTTGTTTTCATTTTAATATACTATTGTTTTAAGGTATCTTTTTGTTTTCTAATGAGATGGAGAAATAATGGTAGTAGATTTGGGCGGGAGCAGATGTGGGGAGGACCTGAAAGGGGTTGGTGGAAGAGAAAATGTAATTAGAATACATTGCATGAAAAAAATCTATTTTCAATTTAAAAGTAGGACAAAGAAATAATACCTCCTTTTCAATTCCAGCAGTTGTGGGAAGATACATAAACATGGACTTTTGGAAACATAAGCATTAAAACTGTGAAAGTCTTTGGACTAAACTTGCACATCTGTCATGACTTATGTGGTGTGAGTCTTCCTCCTAAATATTGTTCTACCTTCTGTGCAGGTTTAAGCTGAGGAACTACCAGTGTATTTTGGCCATGATGTTTGCCATTGAGGAGATCAACAGCAGTCCCTATCTTTTACCCAACACATCCCTGGGATTCGAGGTCTACAATGTCCCACATGGTCAAAGGCACACTCTGGCCAATGTTTTTGTCTCATTTTCAGGCACTGTTTATGCCAACATCAACTACAGATGTTCAAGAGACAGCATGCCAGTTGCTGTTCTTACGGGCCCATCATGGGCTCTATCTGAAAATATAGGGACACTGCTGGATCTTTACAAATTTCCACAGGTGAGACAGGATGATGAGATTGGACATCATCCTATATTTTATAGCTTAGAACAAAGAGAAGGGGAAGGGTGAAGCACAGACTCCATACTGTTAAACCTCTGAATCCTTTCCGTAGAGGGATATCCAATCACATTGTGAACCCAGAGTTTGTGTTTGTGTTAACAAAATAAAATTAACCTTGGTTCAGGGAGTAGAGCTTGCAACTAGTTGACTGCCATAGATATTGCAGATGGTCCATGAATACAGATAGAGAGATGCCCAGGAAGGAGTAGGGGAGAACTTGGAGTTTGGTGCTTTCTTTCTGGTTTGGGATGGGTAGGGAGACATGTCCCTTGCTGGGTCTGTGGCTGTAAAGGAAAGTCAACTGCTTGTTTCTTAGACTCTCTGATCTAACAGGTTTTCACCCATCTCATCTGACTTCAGAGTCTTTGTTGGTAAATAGAACAACAAAGACTTAGTTTAAATATACATAAAGCAGCCACAGCAAAGCTGGACCTGGGGACCCGACGTCCCCCAGGCTGCAGCCTGAGTGACTGTTGAAGTGTTGATTGTAAATCTGTGGGGCCAGAGACAGTAATTATAATAGCAGTACAATCAGGTGAGTCTGCTAAAGCTGACAGGAAAAAAAATCAGTCTACTTTTCTGATAAATCCATAGGGAGACAGATTGAACATTGAAAGCAGGATTGTCCTAGAGGCTTCAAACCATTGCTGGAGAAGTGAGTTGAATTTTGACAATGTTCTTGTTTCTGGTTGTTTTTCCCTACAGCTTACATTTGGGCCTTTTGACAGCGCCCTGAGTGAAGGAAGACGATTTTCATCCTTGTACCAGGTGGCCCCGAAGGACACATTTCTGACACTTGGCATTGGATCTTTGATGGTTCATTTCCACTGGACCTGGGTGGGACTATTCATCATAGATGATGACAAAGGTGCCCAGATTCTGTCAGATTTGAAAGGCGGCCTGGAGAAGAACGGAGTCTGTATAGCTTTTGTGGAAATGATCCTGGTCAGCAGGGGTTCATTTCTCACCACTTCCTGGAAAAATCAGGTGCATATCCTGGAATCAACGGCAAATGTGATTATTATTTATGGGGACACCGATTCTCTATTGAGCTTAATAGTAAATCTAAAGCAGACGTTACTTATGTGGAAAGTCTGGGTCCTGAACTCACAATGGGATGCTGCTAAATTTGATAACTATTTCCTGTTAGATGCATTGCATGGAGCGCTTATTTTTTCACACCATAATGAGGAGATTATTAATTTCACAGATTTTATTAAGACAGCCAATCCTTCCAAATACCCAGAAGACATTTATCTTCATATACTGTGGCATTCATTCTTCAATTGCTCACTTTTGAGGAAAGATTGTAAAATTGTGGATAACTGTCTGCCTAATGCCTCCTTGGAGTTCTTGCCAGGGAATATATTTGACATGGCTATGAGTGAAGAGAGCTACAATGTGTACAATGCTGTGTATGCTGTTGCCCACAGTCTACATGAGATGATGCTCAATCAAGTACAATTTCAAACTCATGAAAAACAAAAAGAGGTGGTTTTCTTCCCCTGGCAGGTATCATCACTTCTGTAGTATTATAACAATAGCAACATGTTACTCTAAGTGTTTACAAATGCACAAATTAATCAATGTGTATTTTGGATTATATTTTCAAAAAAACTGCAAGAGAGACATTGCATAAAGGAATCTGTTTTAAGTCAACATATAGTTGTATTTCAAAAGGTAATACAATATTTTCAAGGGTAAAAAACATATAAAAGTGCATTTACCCCATAGATTTCATACAACAGAAAAGGCTGATATAGGCAATTATCACAATGAACTTGAACACTTCTAAAGTGATTGTGTTACATACACGAACACTATAAAATCTTTCATTTTACAGAACGAAACTCTAAATAGTTTCAAAACTTAATTGGGTATTACTATATTTTCAAAGGATGTGAGAGTTTTCTCCATGCACATTTATTATTTAGGAAGGCTTGATTCTAAGTTTTCTGATGGAACTGATTGGAGTATTTTAGAACATAATGATGTTTCCATTATCCTTGGGTATCATGTGATTGGTGTGATTGATACCTATATTAAAGGTGTTTTTCAGATCACAGATTAACATTAACAGGAGACATTCTCTGATTCGGCTTCTGTTTCACTTCTCTGGAGTATATGGAACATAACAGCATGCATCTCTTTCAGCTTCACCCTTTTCTAAACAAACAATTCATCAGCCATGTTGGAGAACATGTAGATATGGATTTGAAAAGGAAATCTCATGCAGACTATGACATTCTCAATTTTTTGAATTTCCCAAAAGGTCTTGGGCTCAATGTGAAAGTAGGAACATTTTTTCCAAATGCTCCAGACGGCCAGAAATTGTCTTTATCATCTCACATGATACAGTGGTCCACGGGATTGACAGAGGTGGGTGGCATCTTACATCAGTATTTTGACCTGTATGTAAATTAAAAAGTG